GCGTTTTCCTAAAATATGAGTAAATTGCAGACTCCAGATCATATGTGAGTAGGGGAAATGAAACAACTCAGGGTAAATGTAAAGTTTATAATAGAATACTTACCAACAATGGGGAAGGTCCGTGTTAGCATTTTTCAAGAATATTTTCACAGTTAACGTTTGTAGTGAAATATGATATTTGATACCATTTACTAATTCTTATTTGTGAGAGAAAATGTAGGTAGTAGGGATTATTCTACCAAAAATTAGCAATACCTTGTAAAGTCAGAAATGCTGAATGCACTACAGAAAACTCCCCACAGGGAATTATCCAGACCAAACTGACAATAGTGGGGGCTGAGAACGTAGTACAACAGGAGTTAGTTGGTTGTTTTGCAGGCAGCTGACCTAGGTTCAATCCCTGGCATCGTCATATTATCTCTAAGCACAGCCAAGAGTGACCCTTTGAGCACAGAGCCAGGAGTTAGCCCAGAGAACAGAACAGTGAACAAAAATCACAATAGTGTAAAGATTGAGAAATCTTGCTGTATAGGGAGGATAAAAAAATGCTAATGCTAGAGACAGGATAGTTTTCTCTCTTAACTGCAAAGTATGTGAGTCTATTTTACATGGGGTAAAATGTCACAGAATCCCATACATACGTGCATATGCACAAATGAATGCAAGAATTTCTTAAAGTATAAGAAAACTATATAAGGTTTTATGGTCAAGGTTAACATGTGAATTCCCTAGTTTGACATTACACAACTATGTAATACAACTATGTACATGGGTGAACACAGCTATATTTAGTTCACCATGAGGTAAACTAAAGGGCAGAAGGGATTCTACTACTCTCATAGCTTCCAGAACTTTGGAAGTATATTCCTTAGACTTGCAGTATCTCCAACTTTATTACACTGCTGACCCACCAACTGCTTCTGATTATGATGCAGTGTATGGCCTAAAGAGTTCTTTTTGGCAACTCCTACTCAAATGATGATGATTGCGGTAGATACATCTACCTGGTGTTCAAAAGTTTTAACTGGAAACTAATAAAATCACCTCCTCAACACAATCTCTTTTTTCAGCCCTCAAACTCAGCAACTTACTGACCATTTAACCCAGTTCCTTTGATTTTTGCAGTGGCCCTATGAACCATTCCTGGACTCTGGACCACAGACCTGGCACTATTTCCCACCACAATACCTTTTTGCATAATATTGCCCCTTTCAACATATTAAATGAGATTGTGTTTGTTTCATAGGCTTGATTCAAATTATTGCATTAAAATAGATTCCCTGGGACTGGAGCAATATCTCAGTTGGTTGGGATGCATGGTTTGCATTTAGATCAATTTCTGGCACATGCGGCAACGCAACTGGGAGTAGCCCCTATACATTGCACTGGTGGCCCCAAAACAAAATCAAGGGACAGAAAGCTTCTCCGAATCTTCACTTTCTTGGCCCCAAGAAGGGAATATGTTTCCTTTCTCTGGAAATGTATTTTAAAAAAAGTAAGTTATAAGTTTGAGTTTATGTATGCATGGAATATATGTAACTGCTACTATATTATAAACTTTAAGAGAGAAAAAGGTGCATAAGATACACTCTTATTACTCTAAAAGAATTCTTTGTGAAAAACATGACAGTTCAATTCTGCAATGAAAAATACTTCTCAGGTTAACAAATTACCTGAGGTGATCAACAGATAGAGTACTACTCTGCCATTTAGAAAGATGAAATTGAGCTGGGGAAAAGCAAATGTATACCTTATTAATCAATGTTTGACTTTATATCTATACCTGAGGTGGAGGGGAGGGACACGTCTTTATATATTTCTCAAGTGAAGAGGGGTCCCATGTGGAAACGTTTAACTTGCCACACTGCAGCAGCAGCAGCAGCACTGTCCTCCCGTTGTTCATCAATTTGCTCGAGTGGGCCCTGTACATCTCCATTGTGAAATTCGTTGTTACTGTGTTTGGCATATTGAATACTTCATGGGTAGCTTGCCAGGCTTTGCCGTGCGGGCGATTTACTCTCAGTAGCTTGCTGGGCTCTCTGAGAGGGGTGGAGGAATCGTGGAGGAATCGAACCCGGCTTGACCGGGCTGGCCGCACACAAGGCAAATGCCCTACCGCTGTGCTATCGCTCCAGCCCAATTACACACACACACACACACACACACACACACACACACACACACACACTTTGTCTTTTAGCATAACTATCCAGTTCCATAAAATGTCAGAGTTTAAGAAATCTAGTCAAGAAGAAATTGTTACATTAATATAAAACTAATTGGTTACTACACTTTAGAGCAACTATGTAACTATACACCAAACAATTACAGGCTAAAATTGCTAAAACAATTAAAGCCTCAGAATCAGACAGGTTCTATTAATAGGGAAAAGTAACTTTCTCAAGGTCATACAGAAAAACCCGGTCTGAGTGCAGTTGAAGTACAGTTCTGAAATTTCTACTCATAAATTCTATGCACAGCTTCCACTGAAGAAGTACTGCTGGAGCGGCTGGTGTACACTTGCCTTGCAGGCAGCTGATCTGGGCTCATTACCCAGTACCTTATATAGTCGGTCCCCTGAGCCCACCAGAAGTGATTTCTGAACATACAATAAGAAATAAGTCCTGAGCACCCTCTAGGTGTATCCCAACTTGCCACAGTGTTACTTAAAAGGAGTATTTCTAAAAAATTGCTAGAATGGGGAACTACACTGCCTATCCTTACCAGTAAGTTATATGACTTAAAAAAATAGTGGCATATACATCAAGTTTTCAAGAAATTAATATAGATGGAGAGACACACAAACAAATCTCGGAACTGAGTGGCTCTTGATGGAAATGCCTCTGGACTTTGTATTAGGTCACCTTTGCCAGGCCACCCCAGATGGGAGTGGGTGCTCTTCCTCCGCCTGTTCCTCTGCCTGTTCCCCGGGGATCCCAGCGGCAGCCATCTTCCAGAATTCATTGGAAAATCCAGGTATGCGTCAGCAGTGACTACACATGACAGGGGACAGGGGAGGAGCTGGTCCTTCTCCTCCCCCACCTCAATGGGACTCTGAGATGCTGCCCACAAACCCCACTCCTTCCACTTATTAAGCGCCTTAACGACCATGATCTCAGAGTTACACAAAGGAATCTGGGAACCCGGCTCTCAGAAGAAAATGCCTCCAGACTCAATTATTAAAATTTAAGAATTCCAAAGGCTGTGACATCATATGCTATTCATAACCAGCAATAGAAAACAATTTGTCTAATGTTGCTGTATAGGCAGGTCTGAGTATTAGGGGAAAATTCCAACTAATAATGGTGGGACTGGCATTGAAATATTGAATGTGATCAAAGAAGAGAGAATAATATGAAAATTATCTGCCACACAGGAAGGGTAGGGGTGGGATTGGGGGGGTATACTGGGGTTTTTGGTGGTGGAAAATATGCACCGGTGAAGGTATAGGTGTTAGTTCATTATATGACTGAGACTCAAACATGAAAGTTTTGTTAACTGTTCTCACGGTGATTCAATAAATAAATAAATTAAACAAACAACAAAATTATAAGGTTGGCTTGGGAGGGAAAAAGTGGATATGAAAAGAATTACCATCATTTAGCATCTTACAATTAACTAGGCAAAAAGGGAAGGATGGACATATTCAGAACGGGTGAGAAAATGATGGCAGTACTAATATTTATGCCTTTTGATAGACTAAATGAAAAAAACTCAACTTTTGGGGGTTGGTTTATCTTTAAAACACTTCATAATAAAAATAATAAAGATCTGAACCTAAAAAAAAATTAACATAGACAACTAGTAAGCGTAGGATTTGAAATAAACACTTGGTTGCCCTGCGGTGGAACTTCCAAGTAGTGACTGCCTCACTACTAGACACAAGTAGTCCCCCCTTGGAAATAGCATTAATACCACACGCATGGAACTGCACGCGCCCAGGGGTGGCGAGGGTGCGTCTGTCACTCCCAGGGAGGATTCCGTTCCAGAGAGGCTCTGCCGAAAAGCAGTCCGCACAGAAAGACACAGAGCAGCGCGGCCTGCTTTGAAGAGAGACTCTGCATTTCCCTCACATCCTACAGCTGTCAGGCTTTACAACAGAAAAAAAAAAAAAAGGCGAGAAAATAGCGTGACAGTGCCAGGTTGTGTATTCCTTAGAGATGGATCATCTTTTAAGGCAAACAATGACGCGTCAAACTCGGAATGCTGCGAGGGAAACGGCGCCCATCTGTGCCATGCGGGCCTACGGTGCAGTGGCCGAGGCCACTCTGAGAGGTGACACCTCAGCCTGAGGAACTTAGAGACGCGCACTTCGGCCGCCTCTAGGGCGGGCGCTGGCCACCGGCCGTCGGCCTCGCTCCTGCACCCCAGGGTGGCGTGCCCCGCAACTGCGCGGTGCCGGGGCTGCTGGTGCGGCCTCATGGCACCACAGCAACCCGCGGACCCGAAGAGGGCCAAGACTTCGCGGCCCTGCGCAGTGGCCCGGGCCACTTCCCCGTCGTTATCCAAACGGTCTCTTACTCCCGAACCCGGGGCAGGAAAATTAGGCGACCAAGTGTCCCCGGCGGGCCCGCACTAAATCAGGGAGAGAACAGGAATCCCCGCCGCCACTCCAAGCCGGGCCAACGCTTTGGCATCATGCGTGCCGAGCGACTACAGGGACGAAGCGCCGGCGCGCCGGGGGCCTGAGGCGTCCTCCGCGAGGGGCGCCCCCCCCCCCACGCCCTCCCGCGGAACCGCGGCGCGCAGGCGCACACGCGGCCGCGGCGGCCACTGGCCGAGCACCCTTTCTAGTAACTTCGCCGGCCGTGACGTCATCCCCGCGCGCCCGGACAATGCCGCCTAGAAACCCGCGGTTGGTTTTCTCCTTTGTTTGGTTTTAGCGACCAGAAAGGCTCGGAGGGACCCGTCCTGGCTCGGCGTCGGGCCCTTCGGGCGGGAGGCGCTTGAGCCCCGAAGCGATGGCGCGGGCGGCGGGAGGCCGCGGGCCCGCGGCTGGCTCCCGCGCCGGCCGGGCATGACTCGGCGCCGCTGTGGCTGCGTTTCCCGGCGTGCCCTGCGCGGCGCGGCGCCGGCCGACGGCGCGGGGGGAGGGGCGCGAAGGAGGAAGCGGCTGCGGCTGTCGCGGCGACCCGGCGGCGTCTCGGCCACAGCGCGGTCCCGAGCGCCCGAACCGGGCCTACGCCGGAGCGGCTCGCGAGCCCCGCGGACCTCGGTCGCCGCGGCGGCGCCTCGCCGGTGGCCCCTGAGGCGGCGCTGCCCCCCCCCCTCCACTCCTCCTCCCCGGCCCGGTCGGCTGCGGCTCGACCCCCTCGCTCCGTTCCAACCTCCTGCGCGACTGAGTCAGCGCCGCCATGGCCGAGAGCGGCGAGAGCGGCGGCCCTCCGAGCTCGCAGGACGGCGCGGCCGCGGCCGAAGGGCCGGCCACCCCCGCGGCCGCCGCCGCCCCGGCCGAGCCCAAGATTATGAAAGTCACCGTGAAGACCCCCAAGGAGAAGGAGGAGTTCGCCGTGCCCGAGAACAGCTCGGTCCAGCAGGTGAGGCGGCGCGGCGCGGCCGGGCGGGCGGGCGGGCGGGGGGGAGGCGCGGCCCGGGGACGGTTTGGGGAGGCCGCGACGGCGTCCCCGCTGCGTCTCCTCGGACCCGCCGCCGAGCCCGTCGTCGTCGTCGTCTCCCCCGTCCCCCAGTTTATCCCCCCCCGCCCACCGGCTCCCGGCGCCGCACAAAGGAGCGGCGCGGGCCTGGCGGCGCGGGCCGGGCCGCCGGGGCTCTGGGCCCAGCCTTGGCGGCTTCGTCTCGAGAACTGGGAACAAAGCGGGGCCCCCGGGGGGGCCCGCATTGTTCAGCGCCGGCGGCCTCGGGCCGATTTGGGGGGCGCGGAGCACGTGGGCGCCGTCTGGCTCTGCGTTTGGGTCCCCGCCGGAGCCTGCTGGCCCTCCTGGGCCGTTCTTTTATGCGAGGAATGGAGCGCGATGTCGAAATGGCTTGCAGCCCCAGCTTGGGCGTCCGGGGCTCCGGGCGGAACCGTGCCTGGCCGGGACGCATTGGCGACTTCGCTCCCCGCTCCCCCCCCACCCCCCGCCGCTAGTGATTTTTTTTTTCGCGTCCCCGAGGTGCCAGTCACGACGGCGTCGTCCGATTGGAGATAAGTGATTCCCATGTTGGTCACTGCGATCGAATAAAAGAGAACTGGATTCTAGTTAATGGGAGGTGTCGAATGATTGGAATCGCTTCCCGGAGTTTGAATTTTTGCAGTGAATTGGGAGACTCGATGAATTCAGGCTTTTTAAAAAAAAATTTTTTTTTTATTGTGGAGACTCGGTGAATTCAGTTCTTTTTTTTTTTTTTTATCGAGGGGAGGGTTTTCACCGATCTCTGGAAGTGTCATAGGTTTTTGAGGAAACAGTTCTTGAAATCTGCGTACCTCCCCTCAAAACTGATGGCTCACTGATACTCAGCTATATAGTTACAAAAGGAGTGGTCTGTAAAACTGAAACTCACCACCACCTGCTTCCTGAGTGGCTTTGTGCCCGTGTGTTGATTCTTACCCTGTGAAAATCTCTGAATTTTAGTGTTTACCTGAAACCATATGTCCATCACGTAATGACCAGCATTTTGCTGCATTTGCTGTCATAACTAGGTCACTTAACCACTTTGTGTTTTGGATCTAAATACGTGTGACCGTTTTTATTTTTGGTTCGGTTGTCACACTTGGCTTGTCACACTTGCTCAGGGGCCGATGCAGGCTGTGCTTGAGGTTCCCCCTGGAGGTGACTGGCCACCCGGCTGGCCCCTCCCGTTGGTGGAGCCACTTTGGCTCGGTCCTGCTACCCAGACAGAGGGCACGGACCGAAGCGAGGTGCGCGTCCGTTCCCCGAGTTCAGATTTTTAAAGGCAAACTTGAAATGCAAAGCCTTCTGTTAACGGGTAGAACTTTGTACTCGACTGGCTCTCTCTACCTTTTTTTCCCCGGTTGGTTCAGTCTTTCTCGACCCCTACAACTGCTCTTACTTCTGGGCATTAATCATTTTACCTATTCTAGAACTTCACAGAGTGGGGTTTCATTAGTATGAGGGTAATGTACTCCCATAAAAATTTTTTTTGAGACTTAAAAAATATCAGTAGTTCCTTAATTAAGTCAATTTTACAGCGTATAAATGCGCTGTGCTTTATTTTCCTGTTAGGGTGGCCTCAGGGTTGTTACAGTCTAGTGACTAATGCATATTCTTATGCAAATACTCAATTTTTGTTGGACATATGCTTTAATCTTTCATGGCAAATACTTAAAAAAGTGGAATGGCTAGATTTCATGGTGTTAGTATGTTCAGTTTCATAAGAAACGTAGTTTTATAGTGACATTAATGGCTAGTGTATGGGAGCTCCTGTTTCTCTACTTTCTTTCTAACATTTGATAGTGTCTATTTTTCATTTTAGCTATTCTTCTGGTCCTGTAGCCATTGTTGCATTTGAAGACCTTAGGTCTTCCCTCAGGAATTCTGAATTCAGCTTTCCTCCATTCTGCTTTCAGCATTCTACTGTACAATGATAGAATAAATCCAGTATTTTCAATACTTGGAGGCCGGGTAACGTGTCACACCTCATGGTGCTCAGGGTTCACTCCTGGCAGTCTCAGGACCATAGGGACCATATGAGGTGCTGGTATTGGCAGCCTGCAAGCACTTGTACCTTAACCCTTTGCTTTTTTTCTTCTGTCAAAGTCAGTAAGTATATTATACTTAGAAATTTCACTTTGGAGATTATGGTGGTATATGTTTTTGATGCTGATTTTATATCAGTTTATGGTTTATGCTAGTTTTAAATCGTGAAAACTTCCTAGACTTCTGTGATCAAAGTAAAATTAGAGTAGTTACTGGCCTGACATGTGGCTCAGTGATAGAGCATTAGCACGCACAAGCACACTAAATTATGGAAAAATATAAGAATCAGAAAAAGTTTTCAGGTGATCTCTAAGATTTTGTTTGATATGTCAATAAAAGATATGTCATTTTGTAACCTAAATTTATTTGTTGCAGATTAAAATTATCAGATGTTTGTTAAGAAATTGAGGTTAATTGCCTGTGAGATGATACAGTAGGTAGGGTGCTTGACTTGCTCGTAACCTACCTGCATTCAATGCCTGGCATCCCATATTCCCCAGGGCTTGTTCGGATTTATTTCTGAGTACAGAGCCAGAAGAAACCCCTGAGCTTGGTGTGGCCCAAAAACAAAAATTGGGGTTAGGATGTATAAGATCTACAAAATAATATTGAAGTTCAACTTTTTATTTACAATTTAAAATTCCAAGTATTTTTATGCACTAAATTATATTGAAATATTTAATTGAATAATAACTGGATGAAACCCACTGGGCTAGTTGGGTAAGTTATTGGGCCAATTGTAAAAGTTATGTGGTGATAGTTTTCCTGTTTTCCCTTTGGTTACTGTTTAACTGTAAATAACTTATAAAAAATAAACAAGATACTTAAGTATGATTGATTGGTATTATTCCAGGCCCTCATATTTTCCTCCTTTAGACAGTCTAGATTGAAAACTGAGCGACTCCAGATGAGATGAGGACAAGGGAAGCTGGGGCATGAGGTTTTTTCAGGGAGGATGCCTGAAAGATGAAAAACCACCTCTGTTTATATTTTCTTAATTATGGCGGGGAGGGGTGAATGCTTTGTATTGAGTAAGATGAAGGAGATGGACAAGAGTAGGATGTTCGAGATTATTTTTTGAATGTCCTGAGTCTATTTTCATGCCATTCCATACAGGCAGTTTTTTAAAGGTCATTTTCTTTCTAATCTCACTCTATTTCTGACCCTAAGTTGCTGTATTTTAATTTCACATATATTACCTCTTTCAGATTGACAGTAAAGGTTACTCTTTTTAAGTTAGTGAAATTTATTTTTCATGGAGAACTTAGGATCAGTTGAATAATTTTATTCTGAGTAATCTTTAATTTTTTTATTAGAACAGAAACTTCACTGTGTTATGTTTCAAGGTATTTTCTTGTAAAAAAATTTATGACTTTCAGTAAACGTTTGATGTATCTATTTTATATATATACTTGGATGTGTAAACCTAAAGGTGGAGGGGGTTGCAAGTCGATCAAGAAGCCTTCTCTAGATCAGTGGTTTTCAACATTTTTTAACACCTGCTACAACAAATAACTTTTTCTGTAGATTGGCACCAGTACTTGGACTGAGAGTTGAAAAGTTGCTCTTAGATTACAGTGTAAAATTTTGAAATACAATTATTCAGGTAGTGTATGATCTAATTTTATCACTTGAAGTGTTCGGGAAATATTTCATTGTTAAACATAATACAGGTTAATTGAATGCAGTGAGCCTTTCCTTGACAAGTGAAGTTGCAGTTCTTCAGTGTGATTTTCACAAACATTTAACATTATACCTGATAGTATGGATCTGGAGCACTTCTGGCTGTTAAAACCACAACAGGCTGTTGAACACTTAATATGTGGTTGGATTGATTTGAACTGCACTGTATGTGCACACCAGATTTTAAAAGCTTATTACTGACTTCTTTGGTTTAGCATGTTTCCAAGGTTCTTTGATGTGGTTTTATTAGTATGTCTTTTGCTGAATATTATGCCATATGAGTGCATAAATAATACAATTTCTATATTACTTGATTGGTATTTGGGTTCTACTTTTTAAAAATGATTCTGAATAAAGGCTGTAAATACTGATAAGAATGTGGACACATGTTTATATTTTTCTTTGATAAACTCACTGTATCATATAGTAGCTGTGTTTTAGCTTCTTGAAGAATTGCAAAACTATTTTCCAAAGTGGCTATACCATTTTATATTACTATTACCAATGTGTGAGGATTCCAGTTACTCACATTCTCTCTGACACTTGGATTGTTTTTGTTATAGCTGTCTTCTTAGCTGTTAAATGGTACCTAATTGTGAGTACTAGACTTTCGAGTCCAGTAGTACTTACTATGAGCAGTGGATTCACAGGACCTTTTAGATTAACCATGAGACCAACACTTTTATTTTTGCTTTTTGGTTCACACCAGGTGATTTACAGGGGTTACTCCTGGCTCTACACTCAGGAATTACTCCTGGCGGTGCTCAGGGAACCATATGGAATGCTGGGAATCAAACTTGGGTCCGCTGCATGCAAGGCAAACGCCCTACCGCTGTACTATTGCTCCAGCCCCAAGAGATCAAAACTTTTACATAGTAATTAAGATGCTACTTGTGGTTTTCACTTTTAAGTCTCAAAAATGAACATGTACATCTTTCCAAAAAGTACCTTTTCAGAGGGTAATTTTGTGGGATATCAAAACATGAATATCTAGTCACTTTCTCATTCATTTCTTAAAGTAGCTTCTGAAAATGATAATCAGATATTTATCTGCTACGCTAAACTGATGGTTCCCATTCCTCACTGTATAACATGGCCTTATGATCATGTGTACTGTGATTTTGCCTACCTCTGCATCTCCCTTTTCTTCAATCACTTGCCCCTTTTATGTTGACTTCTTAGTTCTTAAACTATTG